AACTTCGGACCACCAAAACCTCCGATTTCGGATACCGTTAGAAAGCCCACGATATCCTCTTCAATTACAGCCAAAAATCTCCCCAAAACTCCAAGTGATTCGGCCGGAATAAAGCTACGAAGTTGGCAACCGAAAATTGTGAAAATCAGCCCAGATTTTCAGATTTCTTGGGCAAGTTTGAGACAATTTTTCGACAATTTCCGACCACCAAAACCGTCGATTTCGGATACCATTGAAAAGCCCACAATATCCTCTTCAATTACCACCAAAAATCTCCCCAAAATTCCAAGTGATTCGGCCGGAATAAACCCATGAAGTCAGCTACCCAAACTGGGCAGATTTTCGGACTTTTTTGGTAGCTGACTTCGTGGATTTATTCCGGCCGAATCCCTTGGAATTATGGGGAGATTTTTTGTGGTAATTAAAGAGGACATTGTGGGCTTTCCAAAGGTATCCGAAATCGACGGTTTTGGTGGTNGATGAGGGTGCTAAGGAAAGTCCAACCAAGTTGGGACGTCCGGTGCGCCTACTGAGTCCCCAAATCTTGGTGAGTTAAATTCTGCTATGAGATCTCGGTCTATGATTGGTTGAAGCGAAGACTACAAACCTCCCTTGTCATCCCCAAAATAGCTCGACGCATAGCGGTGAGCAAAAAAGTCAAAAACTTGACTAGCTCAAAATCGCTAGGGGCCGGTGGTGAGCTCTCAAAACCAAAAAATGGTTAGAACTCAAAATCACCAAGCCCGGTTATCAACATCGCTCAACGTATAGCGATGAGCAGAAAAGTCAAAAACTTGACTAGCTCAAAATCGCTAGGGGTTGGTGGTGAGTTCTCAAAATAAAAAATGATTAAGGCTCAAAATCACCAAGCCCGATGATCAACATCGCTCAACGCATTGCGGTGAGCAAAAAAAAAAAAGTCAAAAACTTGACTTGCCCAAAATCGCCAGGGGCTGGTGGTGAGCTCTCAAAACCAAAAATGGTTAAAACTCAAAATCACCAAACCCGGTTATCAACATCGCCCGACGCATAGTGGTGAGCCAAAAAGTCAAAAACTTGACTAACTCAAAATCGTTAGGGGCTGGTGGTGAGCCTTCAAGACCAAAAATGGTTAAGGCACAAAACCAAAAATGGCTAAGTGACTTTTCTAACTCAGATGGGGGAGTTATATAAGCTATGACGTTTTGGGAAAATCGGTTGGAAATTTTGAAATTCAGCTGAATGAATAGAAATATTTGACTCGAAAGGAATATGGATACAAGGGGGAGTGCCGTCGACGAACGACCCGCGACCAACCGTGGGGCTGGTCGACTGTCGACCGGAGCTAGTCGACGGGTGTCGACCAGCAATTTCGGTCGACCCTCTCGCCCCCTCACTCTCACTTTCGCTAGGATATGAAGAAATGAAAGTTTTATGCATTATGAAATACGAAATGAAGGAAAGGAAAGGAAAGAAATTACTTTGAAGGAGAATGAATGATGATGAAATGAAGTGAAAATAAAATCTTTCACCAATATGGAAGAGGTAAAGAGGCTACCCCCTGTCGATAACATCAACAAGGGGTAGAGGGGCTAATGATATAGGATGACATCAATAATTATCCGCGTACGCGGGTGATTATAATCGCATAGGTGAGGACAACTTGATATGATGGGATCAATAATTATCCATGATGAACATTGAAGTAAGGGTTACTTGATATGCACCCATGTAAAGTACCACGTTAGAGGCTGTCGACCACCATGTGGGTACTCTACGTTCTCATGATAGACCGCCTATCACCATGGGGTGCTCTACGTTCTAATGATAGACTGCCTACCACCATGGGGGTGTTCTACGTTTTCATGATAGACTGCATACCACCAAGGGGTGCTCTACGTTCTAATGAAAGACCACCTACCACCAAGGAGTGCTCTACGTTCCCATGATAGACCACCTACCACCACGGGGTGCTCTACGTTCTCA